CACGCTGTTAGGAACCCAGTGCAGTCCCATGCCTCATTCCTGACCAGTTTCAAAGATATTTTCATTGAACTTTCCTCTGTTGTCCTTTCTTTCTTTCACCCTCCTACAAATTGAGCTTCCTTAAAGGACAGTTTTATCTTGTCATTTCACTGCTAAAAAACTTCATAGGTTCCTTACTGCCTGTATTATTAAGGACAAACTCTTCAGCCTGTCATTCTTTGACCAGTCAAGGGTCTAAAATATTTGTGATCTCTTGTGCAGTATCTTGCATTTTGTAATCATTCAGTAAATATTTATTCAGTTATTATATTTGAGATCTCCCACAACATGTTCCCAATGCCCACTTCCCACTTAGGTCCAACTAGTCCCTGACTTGCACCCAAAGCACTATTGTGTGAATTACTTGATATTTACAGAAGCAGTCCCCAAGTGTCCTGTTGCTGATTCATTCCATCATTCTTGTCCAGACTCACCCAAGTCCATTTCTGGACCTCCTCTCTATAGGTTTTCTTTGTCCTGTCTCTATTTTTGTCCCTTTATTATGACTCACTTATTTTATTTTCTTGTTTTAAAGTCACCCTTGGTTTGTTCCTTCCACTAGATGTTAAGTTATTGAGGCTAGCAAGTTTTTTCTACTTGTCTTTGCCTCCTCTTGAGCCCCAAGCTCAATGAGGAATATATAGGTATTTTTAAAAGTTTTTAAATTGACTCATTCTTGTTCGATCAGTTCCTGGATGCCTAAGAGGACACATACAACCAGACCACTGTCCTCCATAAAAACTCCAGATGCCCAAGCAAAGATGAGACTCATGCTCCTTTTCCTTTCTGAGTCTTCAGATGCTACAGCTGTATCTGCTCTATGTCTTCCAGTAAACTCTGCTCTTACTTCCTCTTAGCTTGCATTTGATTTCCATCCTGCATGAAGCAAGGACCCACTTGGCTGGTCCTGTGGGACCCACTCTGGGTCCTCGGACCTGGGTTGCTGCATCATCTTGGTGATTATGAAGTGACCCTCAGAGGAACAATTGTACCCCAAAATTAAGTCTGCACAGCACAGTTTGACCTTTGGGGATTGGTAAGTTCCTCCTCTGTGAAACATAGTTGGTTTGATGCTGATGTAACTTCTGTCTATGTGCTCCCCTGTGTAACTGGTCTATTCTCCGGGGAAAAGGAAAACTGGGAGAACTGATATGGGACCTGTTCTCATTCACTATTCTCACTCCCTATGCTCTGAATTGCTTTAGCTGGCTCCGAAACTTTACTCTCACTTTAATTGTAAGACTCTCTGGTTCAGTTCTTGGACAGTTTTTCTTAAGGCTGTTAGCTGGTGTAAGAGACTGAATCACTCAGCTCTAAAGAAAAGGGACACTTGTTCCTTCCCATCAGAAAGTGTTTTTAGGTGAAGGGAAGTGTCAGAGGTTATTCCTCATGTAGTAGTCCCCATAGAGGAAATCTCCATGATAATTTATTTGTGGCTTGCTGGGAACACACACGTAAGACTGATCATACAGTGCTCCAAGCCCCCACAGTGGTTTTAGACTGTCACCAGGAGAAACCAAGACACTTTTGGGGAAGATCAGCCCATTGATGGCTCTCTGGGAAGTTCTCCCCATAAGCAGCTCATTTGATCCACCACATGTTTTCCCTAGAATAGAGTGCAGACTTCTAAATCTTTCTTTTTCATTGCTGGGTGGATGTCTCCTCATGGTAATTATGGGATGCTGGTATTACATTGAGGATTGGTGGCCAATCCTGTTGAGAACTAAAACTCTTAGAATAAACAAGTGGTCCTGCTATACCCCCAGTTGCACTGGGTTTGCTGCTTCTAGGGGTGAAACATGTGGCAGGCTGGTCACTGCTGGGTAGACGTTGCCTCCTTGAATGAGACATAGTGGATGTCTCAGTGAGACAGGCAGCAGGCTGGTCACTGCTGAATGGATGTCTCGCTGAGACACATGGAAGACTGGACACAGCCAGGTGGATCTCAGTAAGACATGTGGCAGACTCGTTACTGCTGGGTGGATGTCTCCTAGTTGGATTGCCTAGAGACATGTAACCTACCAAAGCTAAAGCAGGAAAAAAAAAAAAGAAAATTTGAACAAACCAGTTACTAGCAATGAAATTTACTCAGTAACCAAAAAACTCCCAAAAAACAAAAGTCCAGGACCAGATGGCTTCACAGGCAAATTCTACCAAACATTTAAAGAAAAGTTAATACTTATTCTTCTCAAACTATACCAAAAAAAATAAGAGGAAGGAAAACTTCCAAATTCATTCTATGAGGACAGTATCACCTTGATACCAAAACCAGATGAAGACACCACAAAAAAGAGAACTACAGACCAGTATCTTTCATGAATAAAGATACAAAAATCCTTAACAAAATATTAGCAAACTGAATCTAACCATGCATTAAAAAAATCACACACCACAATCAAGTGGGATTTCTTCCCATGATACAAGGATAGTTCAGTATTCAGAAAACAATCAATGTGATACATGACATCAACAAGAGAAAGGATTAAAAACCATATGATCATTTAAATAGACATAGAAGAAGCATTTGACAAAGTACAACATCTGTTCATGATAAAAACCTTCAACAAAGTAGATCTAGAGGGAGGATTCCTTAACATAATAAAGGCCTTATATGAAAAACCCACAGCCAACGTCATACTCAATGGTCAAAAACACAGCTTTTCCCCTAAGGGCAGGAACAAGACAAGGATGTCCACTCACCACTTTTATTCAACATGGTACTGGAAGTCCTAGTCACAGCAGTTAGACAACATAAAGAAATAAAAGGCACCTAAATTAGTAAGGAAGAAGTAAGACTCACTGTTTGCAGATGACATGATACTATATAACCTGAAAGACCACCAAAAAAACTACAAGAACTGATGAATTCGGTTAAGTTGCAAGATGCAAAATCAATGTACAGAAATTTGTTGCATTCCTATACACTAATAATGAGGTAGTGCAAAGTGAAATAAAGAAAACAATCCCATATACAATTGTACCAAAAACAATAAAATATCTAGGAATAAACTTTACAAAAGAGGCAAAAGACCTGTAATCTGAAAATTATAAAACACTGATGAAAGATGACACAAAGAAATGGAAAGATATTCCATGCTCATGGATTGGAAGAACAAGTATTGTTAAAATGTCTATACTACTACCCAAAGCAATCTGCACATTTAATGCAACCCCTCTCAAAGTACCAACAGTATTTTTCACAGAATTAGAACAAACAATCCTGAGATTTGTATGGAAGCACAAAAGATCTTGCATAGCCAAAGCAATCTTGAAAAAGAAAAACAAAACTGGAGGTATCACAATTCCAGATTTCAAATTGTATTACAAAACAGTAGTAATAAAACAGTATAGTAGTGGTGTACCATAGACACATAGATCAATGGAATAGAACAGAAAATGCAGAAATAAACCCACAATTATATGGTCAATTAATCTTCAACAAAGGAAGAATGAATGTACAGTGGGAAAACGACAGTCTCTTCAACAGATGGTGTTGGAAAAACTGGACAGCCACATACAAAAGAATAAAACTGGACCACTTTCTTTCACAACACACAGAAATAAATGCAAAATGAATTAAATATCTAAATATGAGACTATAAAAATCCTTGAAGGGAGCACAGGCAGTCATCTCTCTGACATCAGCCATAGCAACATTTTTCTAGATGTGTCTCCTGAGGCAGGGAAATAAAAGCAAAAATAAATTATTGGGACTACATCAAAATAAAAAGTTTCTGCACAGTGAAGGAAACAATCAACAATACTAAAAGGCAACCTACTGAATGGGAGATGTTTGCAAATGATATATCCGATAAAGAGTTAGTATCCAAAATATATAAAAAACTGATACGACTCAATACCCAAAAAACAAATAATCCAATTAAAAAATGGGCAGATGACATGAACAGACATTTCTCCAAAGAAGACATCCAGATGGCCAACAGACACATGAAACGATGCTCAATATCACGCATCATCAGGGAAATGCAAATCAAAACTACAATGAGCTATCACCTCACACCTGTCAGAATGGGTAAAATCAAAACACAAGAAACAATAAGTGTTGGTGAGAATGTAGAGAAAAAGGAAACCTCATGTACTGTCTGTGGGAATGCAAACTGTGGAAAACAGTATGGAGGTTCCTCAAAAAATTAAAGACAGAATTACCCTATGATCCAGTAATAGCACTACTGGGTATTTACTTAAAAAATACAAAAACACAAATTCAAAGGGATACATTCACCCCTATGTTTATTGCAGCATTATTTACAACAACCCAACTATGGAAGCAGCCCAAATGTCCACTGAGAGATGAATGGATAAAGAAGATGTAGGAGAACAATATATTACATATAATATGAATATGTGGGATATATAATAATACATATAATAAACTATACATAAATATTATTCAGCCGTAAAAAGAATAAAATCTTGCCATTCACAACAACATGGATAGAGCAAGAGAATGTAATGTTAAGTGAAATAGATCAGTAGAGAAACAAATACCATATGATTTCACTTGTATGTGTAATTTAAGAAACAAAGCAAATGAACAAAGGCTAAAAAAGAGACAAACTAAGGAACAGACTTAACTACAGAGAATAAACTGATGGTTACTGGAGGGGAGTTGGCGGGGGGGGATGGAGATTAAAGAGTACACTATCATGATGAAAAAAATAAAATACCAAAAATGAGTTTGTTAATTGAAAGCCATCACCCTGTTTTAAATATGCATAAAAGACAGTTTAACTAGACATTCAACTTTTGAGAGGTACCATTACTTGAAAACTGAAGAGAAAAATGATTATCTACAAGACTGTGGGGTTTAAATTTTATTTCTGATAGCAACTAGAACACAGTAAACAAATTTTGATATCATTGGATTAATATGTAAAACATGATTGAAATAACTCATTCCAGTTATTGCTTTGTTTTTGTTTTTGTTTCTATTTTGGTAGAGAGATGCTGAATTCCAGGAGCATGAAAAGATTCTGTCTCCGGATTTTCTTTCAGTTGCTCAAATCACTGAAATGCTAGCAGAGGACGTAGATGGAGTTCAACAGTAAGCACTTCAGTATTACAACCAAATATAGAACAGTTCTAGTTCTGCATCTATAAATGATCATGATATGCTATTACATAATTTAAACTTTTTTTCAAAAGAATTGTTATTATATCATGCAAATATATACATATATATCCAAATATATATAATATCTAGAGTCTGGAACACCAAAATTCTCAAACAACTGACTTTTTACACTGCTTAGCTGTCTTCTTTATGGGAGAAATGCATTTCAGACCAACATGCAAATGTTAACAGAGAATAAGGATTTATTGTTAAAAGCAGTCTTTAACATATGCTGTCTTCTACTTCTTTTCTCTTTCATTCATAAAACTCAATTATGCACAATAACCTTTAGGTCTTCTGTCTCATCATGACAAGAATAAGTTGTATTTTCTGTAATATTAAGAATTAATACATTTTAATATTTTGGAAACCCTGAGTATTAGCCATCCACCTGTGATTTTTATTGGATATGAAGCTATACTAAATACTCTGATTTCATGTATTTTGCCTAAAAATGTGAATGTAACTGAATTTATGGGAATAATTCTAATATGTGTACATCTCATTCTTAAAGCCATTGATTTCTACAGCAAATCATTTACTTAGTAGTCAGATATAACTAAAACACAAGTTCCTAACATGTGTTTTTAGTAATCAGTCATCTTAAAAGTTACCTTGCTCTAATACTATGAAGGCTGATTGACTATAATGTGTAGAGAGCCCACTCTACACATGATGTGATGTTCTGGACTGTAATGTCTCTTCTGCAGACCAGTCATCTGGATGTTAGGAGGGTATTGTGGACCATAATGGACAAATAGAAAATGACTCTGTCAGTGGCTATCATTTGCAAATCTTTCAAATATTGTGGAATAGAGGTGATTTACTACTGAGAAGGAAATATGACAGACGTACTGGCTGGAAGAGAAATCTGAGAAGGGAAGACATATTAAGAGCAGGCAAATGACACTGACAGGCCTTTTCCCAGGATGCTCTTCACCTTCAGGGCCTGCAAATCTTGCTAGAAATCCTGGTGATCTGTGATTTGGCCATACTGCTTACCATCTATATCTTTATAACTATTAGTCAATTAAAAATTTCACAGATTTTTAAACAAGTATATCATAGTAATTTTAGCATTTTTATAGAAATGAATGCCCATTGGAAATTGATTTTTTTGTATCAGAATTATTAGTAAAATGCATTCATTGTATTAGTATCACTGATTATTTATGCTTTAAGTAAAATATTTTCCATTTCTAGATAATCCCAAAAGTTGATCATTAAAGTGCAAAAAATAGGTATTTCATACTAGGCAAAATAATATGATGCAAATGAAAGATATTTAATATAGTTTACAATTTATTTGTATTAAATATCAAAGATGTTATATTAAATGCAATTAATATTAAATAAAAGGTATTGCAAACAAATTTTTTATACTTGTTTATTTCTTACAACATCTTAAGTTGTACTGTGTACCATACCTTGTGTGACAATCTTTTTTTACCACTTACTGTCTCTCTTTGTTGTCAAATATTCAAATTCTAAAAGTATTTTTAATCTTTAAGAGGTAATGTCTAGGATAAAGGAAATAATACAGAGGGTGATACAGAAGTTAACTGTATAGAAACAACCAGGTTCAACGTAGGTTGACCTTTTAGATTGTCTCATTAATAGAATTCACCTGAAGTAATCTCAGATTTTAAGATATCAATTTTGGATAAATGACAGTGTTATGTCAGGAGCCATTTCTTTGCAAAGTAATTTTCTTGAAGTTCTTTATATGATTTTTGTAACAGTAATCCTGAAATATTTGCAATCAATCATTCACTTCCCATTTAAAATAGCATTATTATAAGTGGGGATTATATACTTTTCAAAATGACAGAAATATAATTTAGGTATCCTGTCACCAAGTGACAGAAGTATGCCAAAATCATGCAAATCATGCAAAGTTATATATATATTTATAGTCTACAAAGCTATAAACCTATTTAAATACATTATAGGAAATCAGCACATTTCCCTATGTTTTAAAATTAAAAATTGCATTTCATGAAAGCAGCCAACCAAATGAAACAATATAGTATCATCAAAACATATTTCTAGAGTACACTTCAAGTAAAGTTAGATGTCTGAGTACATTTCTCATGACCTCCTATTATCAATCATTCATGCTTTTAATGTAACCCCATTTTTTTACAGATACACCCAAATCCTTTTTGAAAAAAGGTTAAGGACTAAATTGAAAATAACTATTTAAACACAGAAATAACCCTGAGAGATCTTTTAATAACCTTTCATAACTGGGCCTCCATGAGCTGTTCAGCTCTTGCCTTAAGGCTTATTCCTGAATGTCATCATATTTAAAAAATAAGATGCACTCTAATTTCAAGAGCATGTAGGAATAATGTAATACCTTTACTGGAATTCTTGGTGAGACAAAATAGATAGTTACATCACCTATCACTATAGCACAACTTCCTAAATCCCTGTTAAGCATCTTTCTCTTTCCCTGTAGTCTCTAATGCCATCTCTCCTCTCCCATGTCCCATCTTCCCTTATCCCAGAGGAAAAACTTAAAGATTTGCCAGTAAAATGCATGGAAACTTTGCATTCAAATTGCAACAGCATCTTGCTCCAAATGCCTCCCTGCATAACCTCCTTTGGGGTGAAATATCTGAACAAAGAATAGAAATGGTGAATATCCAGCCCTGTAATTCAAGTTGAAGGTTAAGATTCAAATGGTACTGAGGGAAGTGGTGGAGGGGGGATGGGGGAGAGCAAAGATAGAGGATGTCAAAGAAGTTTCACTAAAATACTCTTAGACAAATAGTTGGCTTCATTTACATATAATCAGACACTGAAAAAAAATGAAAATAAAAAAGCAAAGAGCACATGGAACTAAGTCAAATATTTAATTTTTTAAAAGAACAGCATGGAGATGGCAGATGAAAAGTACAGTTAGAAGGAAGACTAACTGTTGGGAACAGAATGTTCAGAGATAGATTAACTCCAGAGTTAATTGACTCAAGGCCTCAATAGTATCATCAAGAAATGATTATAATTTTAGAATTGATATTTCTTATAAGATGGCTGCCAGTAACAATCAAACCTACTTATTTACTCTTTTGTATTTTGGTTCCACAGAAGAAAATAAGCCTTACCCTTAGTTAGGAATTAGAACAATTTAGTGGGGGAGTGCTCACCATAGACCAGTAGTTACTATAGAGAATACCATATACTGAATGCCATTATATGGCATTATGGGAAGAGGGAGAGATTATCATAATTGTTTTAGAGGAATCAGAACTCACTTTCGGGGTTGAGGTCTACCTTGACACCACTGTAGATGAGATGGATGTTAGAGAGTTAAATACAACATCAGCTTTATTTTTTCCCAAACTTGTTTAATCCTGCTGTATTTATTATTCTGATTATAGAATCTATTTCAATATTATGAATAGTAAGGATTTCCTTTTTTGAAAATGGCAGTATAAAGTTGTCACACACCCACACACAGTTCTCAGAAACCACATATAAGCAACGAGGAAATACCAATAACTTCTTTGTCCAAACAAGGAGAATCCTGTATGCTCAAACCACAAAATAGAGGATGACTGCCAGAAGCATTATAGATCAAGCAGAAGTGGAGGAGAAAGAACAAGAAAGATACACATAGTTGAAGATCTTAGAGTGAGTTAAAAAGTATAAATTATTCTCCTGGGTGAGAAGAAAACCCTGAAGTGCCATTTCGAGAACTCTTGTTTGCAACAGCAGGGCCAGGATGTACAGGCTTGGAACAGATAATTCCCATATTTACAAGAAATAGATTGTTTATGTGATGGTAATAAGAACCTATCCTACTTTTATTTTTCTTCTCCCCACTAATTGAGAAAAAGAGAGTAAAAAACTAGAATAAATGACACAAACTTATTCTGTACAGAAAATAGTTTGTCACATGGCCAAGTCTGAGTACAAAACAAGGAATATGCATACAAAGCCATTTTAAGAAAAAAAAGTAATTGAAGAATGGGGGAAAATACAGGAAAGAAAATACAACCAAATGAATATAGCCATGAGCAGATACTGTCAAACATTTATCATGAATTAAAAAAGAACTTATGAAGCAACCACAACAAGAGCATAAAACAGAGATATAAAAACTCAAGGAAGAGATAACAAGAAATAAAGGTGATAAAGCATGTAAAAAAGCAAAGAGTAGAAAGGATCTTACAGAGGTGAGCTCTGTAAGCAACCCAAGGGAGAATTAACACTGCTGAAAACACTAAGGGACCTAGAAGACAGTATTGAGAAAAGTATATAAAATGAAAAGGAAATGATTTGAAAAAAATTTTGAAGGTTAATAGAAAATTATAGCTATAGACAAAATGCGTAAAACAGACATAATTTGAATTCTTCAAAAAAGAAAACAACAAATATTTAACAATATAGTTCCAGAATGTCATCAGAAACAAACTTGATTATAAATGGAAAAAAGATACTAAAGGAAGGAAGAAGAGGAGGAAGGTGAGGAGGAGAATTACAAGAGTAGAGGAAGTGGAGGCAGAAGACCAACAAGAATGCTCATGATTGCTCTCTTCATTTCTTCCTCCTCTTCCCTCTGTTTCCTTTTGAATGTCATTTGGACTTAGGATTTTGATATAACTTCCCCCTTTCTGTTTCCTTTTGAATGTCATTTTAGACTTAGGATTTTGATATTTTTAGATTTAGGGAATTATAGAATTTTCATTCAAGAAAAATATATGCATTTTCAAAATTTAGAAAAGGAACTGTTCACTAATCTGATTTTAATGTCTGGATTTTTCTTTTTATTACAGAAAACTGAAAAAGTTTTTGAATTTCAAAAACCTTCACACCTGTTTAAAGGAAGCCATTCTACTGGATTATTATGTATCTGGATTTTTGTGGGCTAGAGGAATGCAATTTTCTGTTATTCAATATTCAAAATTTATGACTTTACTAGATATGTTACTTCATAATCTTAGAAGTAAGTACATTATTTTTCTTTTTTTTAAGAAAAGAAAATTTAGTCCACTGTTTAAATTAATGTTCTAAAGCAAAAGTTCCTAATTTTATTGTAATTCCTTCAGTGAAAATTATGGGATTTTTTTCTGGATAGAGCAAAGATATATAGTCCACACCTTCATTAAGTTGTAAAATTTCAAACAGTATTTAACAGGCTAAAGTTCTCTTAATTAACTTGCCAAAGATATGTTAGCTTCATTTAAAAATCTTATCAATGCCATCCATCCCCAAAATGTCACATAGTTCACACTTATTTAGGTATTTTTTCATTGTTTGAACTGTTTTCATTTCATCTTACCTACTAGTATTACTGGGATAACTCAGAAATGACTAATGAGAGGAGGTACTTTAGTCGATATCTAAGCCCCATTAAATAGACATTGCTCACATACACTTAGATTTTGTGACTTTTTTTCTTATATATAACATTGGAATGAGTTACTATAGGAAATTTGAAAATTCTTCCTTAGAGCACTTTTCATTGTGATAAATTTTGTTTCAGAATAAATACAACTGCTTCTTGGAAGAAAGAAATCTATCACTGATATATTGCCAGCTCTGTGTGCTAGGCACTGTTTTGTTATAATCTTTAACATGCATTATTGAACCTCAGAGCAACTCCTGCATGGGAGGTATTATAACCACAGTCTCAGAGCTGAGAAAGGAGTCCAGAGAACAAGGTTGCAAGCTGGGAACCTACAGAACTAGAACCTGAATCTCAAAGTATATAATCAAAAGGCCAGAAGGGAAGGGGTTGAGGGGATTGGGTAACCGGGTGATGGGTATTAAGGAAGGCCCATGCTGTGGTGAACACTGGGTGTTATACACAACTAATGAGTTGTTGAATACTACATCAAAAACTTATGATATACTATATGCTGGCTAACTGAACATAATAAAAAAAATAAAATTCCAACCCCCAAAATATTTTTTAAAAAATAATAATAATAAAGCTCCATTAAAAAAAAGCCCATGAGTACTATAAACCCAAGGGTATTTGTGTCTCAATTGAAAGATGTGGATAAAGAAGATGTGGTGTGTGTATATATATATATATATATATATGGGATATTATGCAGCCATCAAAAGAAATGAAATCTTGCATTTGCAATGACGTGGCTGGAACTAGAGGGTATTATGCTAAGCGAAATAAGTCAATCAGAGAAAGACGATTATCATATGATCTCACTGATATGTGGAATTTAAGAAACAAGGCAAAGGATCATAGGGGAAGAGAGGAAAAAAATGAAACAAGATGAAACCAGAGAGGGAGACAAACCATAAGAGACTCTTAATCTCAGGAACAAACTGAGGGCTGCTGGAGTGGTGGGGGGGTGGGAAGGATGGGGTGGCTGGGTGATGGACATTGGGGAGGGTGTGTGCTATGGTGTGCACTGTGAATTGTGTAAGACTGATGAATCATAGACCTGTACTCCTGAAACAAATAATACATTATATGTTAATAAAAATAAATTATTTTTAAAAATTAAAAAAAGACATGCTTATGTCAGTTGAGAGCTTGCTCCTTCCTTCCTCCCTCTCTCTCCCTCCCTCCCTTCCTTCCTTCTTTCCTTTTTTTCCTTTCCTTACTTTTTTAAAACTTTTCTTTGCTTTTTCGTTGTTTGCTTGTTTTTACTTTCTTTTCTTCTTTTAATGAGCAGGTAGACCTTGCTCTCCCTAAAGAATTGACAACAGAATTGTCAAAATATGTGGGTGCCTATTTGTGGCCACAAAAAGCCTATTCTGTTCTGGTTGTCAGTTTCTAGCAGGAGAAATTTTAAGTGAACTAGCAAAACTAATAGAGAAGCCACTCATGCCTTATACACCCTTCCTACTCCTAGTCATCCTTACAAGGGAAGAATTGGTAGTTCTTGTATGTGAGGAGAAAAAAGCATTATTTTCCTTCTCTGCAAGTGGGAGAATCTTATCTTTGCTTATATGTAAGTATGTAGTGCCATGTTAAAGATAAATAACTGGGGGCACCTGGGTGGCTCAGTAGGTTAAACATCTGCCTTCAGCTCAGGTCATGATCCCAGTCTCCTGGGATTGAGCCCTACGTTGGGCTCCCTGCTCAGTGGGGAGTCTGCTTATCTCTCTCCCTCCCCTTTGCTCATGCTCTCTCTCTCTCACTCTCTCTCTCAAATAAATAAAATCTTTAAAAAACAAAAAGATAAATAACTGATAGAAGAAAAAATAATTAAACTTGATAATGAAACAAATTTGTTATGATATTAACTGATCAGACAGACTTTGGTTGTTTTTTTTCCCCTAATGAACAAATGAACAAATATATTTCAGCAACATTGCCAAAGTTACTTGGCAAGCAAGGAACCATGTAAATTTCAACTTGTGTGGAAAATAATAATAAATAGATGCCAATAATGAGATGAAATGGATATTGAGATTATATGGTAAAGACTTTGAAACAGGTATTACAAAAGTGCTTAAATGAACAATTGTGAACATCCTTGAAATAAATGTTAAAATAAAAAGAATCATGAAAAAAATGGAAGGTATAAAGAAGAAACAAATGGAAATTTTAGAACAAAATTATACAATAACCAAAATTAAAATCTCATTAGATAGAAATAATAGCAAAATGGAGAGTAGACAAAGGAAAAAAATCAGTGAACTTGAACATAGAGTGATAGCAATTATCCAATCTTGAACAATACAGAGAAAAAAAGATTGGCAAACAAATTAACAAAACCTCAGGGACTTGTGGGACAACCAAAGTTCTAATATACATATTGTTAGAGTCTCAGAAAGACAGGAGAAAGAGTATAGTGCTAAACAAACGTTTGAAGAAATAATGGCTGAAAACTTCACAAATTTGGCAAAAGGCATAAATATATAAATTCAGGAGGCTGACTGGACTACAAAGAGACTAAACCAAAAGAAAAACACCATCAACCAACTGGGTCTAATTGACATTTACAGAACAGTCCACCCAAAACAGAAGAGGCATTTTTTCAAGTGCACATGGAATATTCATCAAGGTGGACCGTATTCTGGGTCATACAACAACCTTAAATTTAAAATAATTGAAATCATACAAATATATTCTCTGATCATAAAGGTATTGAACAAGAAATTAATAACAGAAATATATCAGGAAAATATTCAAACACATATGAAATAACACAGTTCTAAATAGTATGTGGGTCATATGTCTCAACAGATATTAGAAAAGATTTTTTTTTAAAGATTTTATTTATTTGACAGAGAGAGAGACAGCGAGAGAGGGAACACAAGCAGGGGCAGAGGGAGAGGGAGAAGCAGGCTTCCCGCAGAGCGGGAGCCCAATGCAGGGCTCGATCCCAGGACCCTGGGACCATGACCTGAGCTGAAGGCAGATGCTTAACCACTGAGCCACCCAGGCGCTGGTAGAAGATTTTTAAGTGAAAATAAACATGTGAAAATTTATATGGTACAGCCGAGTCAATGATAACAGGGAGGTTTCTATCATTAAATACATAGAAAAAAATCTTAAATTAATAATCTAAACTTAAACCTTAGGAAGCCAGTTTTAAAAAATAAGCAGAAATCAGGCAGAAAAGAAAGACATAATAAAGAACAGAAATCAATGAAACTGGAAAAAAAAAAAAAACAATAGACAAAACCAATGAAACCAAAATCTGGATATTTGAAAACATCAATACAATTGATAAACATGAAGCAAAACTTGACTGAGGAAAAAAAAAGATACAAGGCACAGATTATCATTATCAGGTATAAAAAAAGGGGGGATATCACTAGACACTCTGCAGACATTAACAGAATATTAGGAAAAAACTACTTATATACATAAATTAGAAAACAAAAAGGAAATGAACCAAATCCCCCAAAATCACAAACCAGCAAAACTTGTGCAAGATGAAATAGATAACATGATAGTCTTATAACTCTTTAAGTAATTGAATTATTTAACTTCTAGGAAACACTCTCCAGGTCTAGAGAAGAACAGCAACAACAGCAAAAGGAGGAGGAGGAGGAGGGAGAGAAACTACAGACCAATATCCCTCATGAACATAAACAAAAAATTTTTCAACACAGCATTATCAAAATGAATCAAGCAACATATAAAAAAATAGTACACATGACCAGTTAGGGCTTATCCCGGAAATTCAAAGCTGGTTCAATATTTGAAAATCTCATCAATGAAAATAATCTAAAGAAGAAAAGCCAATGATCACATAAATAGATGCAGAGAAAGCATTTGACTAAATATGACATCCATTCATTATTTTAGAAATGAGATTATTGCATCTGAGATTATTGCATCTCAGACACCAGCAAACTATTAAGTTCTATAATATAAAAAGAGCATGCAGAAGCAAGAAGAAAAAGACCAACAATGCAACAGAAGAGTAAGCCAAGGATATGACTAAATAAATATTTTAGAAAAGAGTCAGAAAACTAAGAAAAGAAGTGATATTCCTCAATATCATAAAAGACATCTACGAAAAAACCTAAACCTATTGTTATACTGAGTGGTGAAACACCAGATGATTTCCCCATAAAATCAGGGTCAAGGCAAGAATGTCTACTCTTACCACTTCTACTCCTATTCAACAAGACTGAAAGAAAGTCTTAGGAATAAGTGCAGTCGAGTAAAAAAATAAATAAATAAAGGGGAAGGAGGAAGTAAAACAGCCCCTGTTCTCAGATGAAAGGATTGTCTATATAAAAAAATGAAACAGAATTTTAAAAAATCCTAGAACTAGTAAGTTAAGCAAGATTGCAAGAATAAGGTCAAAACACAGAAGTCAATTGTATTTCAATGTGCTAGCAATATACATTGTATTCCAAAATTTTAATAAATAGCATTATTTACAATAGCTCAAAAAATAAAAGAAATACTTAAGTATAAATGTAACAAAAATGTACAAGGTCTGTATGCTAAAAACTACAAAATGATGACAAAAGAAATTAAAGAAAACCTAAATAAATGAAAAACAT